GCCCCAATTGGTTCTAAATGATCACGTGAATGCTGGTCACGCGCACATCAACTTCCAATGAGCGTACTGCCATTTTTTCTGAGGCGATGGAGGTCGTAAATCACTCAGCCCGAATAAAGATTTGGCGGAATGACAGGCTGAGCGCGGCCCAGTAAACTTAATTGACGATGTCAATTCATGGCAGCTCGGCGCGGCACAGTAGCGCATCTCGCCGATCTAGCCAGAGAAGCCTCATTGAGAAGCCTCATTGAGTGCGCGGCGCGGCACAGCAACGCATCGCGCTACAATTTATGAACTTAACGGGTGATACTCGTAAAATATCTGTTCCATATATTGGACCGTCGACGAGTCCAACTCGGCGCGCGTCCTGGTAGGTTGTAAACCTACAATTATGAACATAATAGCCTGAGGTCCCCAGGTAAATTATAAACATAAATATAATAGCCTGAGGTCCACAGGGGGAGCTGAAACCAGGTTTTCGATCAAACGCTGCCATGTGTAGTCAAACGTCGCCAAAAGTTGCTGATCTCGTCCAATGAAATCGCTGCATTATGTAAGCCAAGCTTCGCATATGAATATATGTTACTTGAGCGTTGAGGACCCCAGGCTTTAATGTTGATAAACAACAGATTAGGCGGAATGACAGGCTGAGCGCGGCCCAGTAAGAATATATGTAATTCAATTTTGCATACTGATTTACAAAATGCAGTGATTTCATTGGATGAGAGCAACTGTTGGCGAAGTTTGACTACAAATGGCAGCATTTGATCGAAAACCTGTTTTCAGCTCTCCCTGTGGGTCCCAAGGTAACGAAAAAGGGCGCGCTGGGTTAGTCCATTGACAATGGCAAATATGTAGGTTTACAACCCACACAAGTAAACCGCCGGGAAGCAGGCGCGCGCCACTACAAGCGCAAGGGCTCTGCGTACACAGTGCGAACCTACAGTGCCAAACAGCAAAGAACATGACTGTACATATGGGCATGCGCTAACAAAAACGCCGGCTGGCCCGCGCCACCAACAAGGCCGCGACAAACTAATCAAACAGCAAAAAAGTGCAACCTGTCGCAGCAGGCTATTAGCAGCAGTTAGCAGCAGTTAGCAGCATTTCCTTTACACTTTAGTGTGTAGTGCAAGTTAAAATAATATAGCAACATTTATGTGTGTGCCTAATAACACAAAAGTCATAATCGATCAGGGAAAATATTAACATAGAAATAATAGTTTATATGCTATAGCACATAGCTTGACTTTATCAAATATGAAATAACACGTCGGCCGTTGCGATACTTTGATTTCCTAGTCCTATCCCAAACCCAAACCCTTACTTTAAACCTGACCCTAACCGTAACCAATAAACTTATTGAAATGGCCCACTGGGCTCAGTCGGTAAACTTATTTTGGCCTAGGGTAAATAAATATTTGTATAGCTTTGTGTGCGCGCTCGATATTTTACAGAGTCATTTCAGCGACGAAACGTTTCAGCATTTAATTTTTAGTATACAATATTTTGTTTGGTCATGAAGGTGGTGAAACAAGAAATTTGATTTCAATCATCAATTGCGATTATTTATTTTTCTAAGCCTGTCAATATGGAATTTTTTATAGATTTTATTATACTATTTAAAGTATAGAATTTTAAATTTGGTCTCTAAAAATGTGTGTCAATCTTAAATTTATATTTTTGTTGTGGGTCGGAAAATATACCCCATCACCCATGCAACATACTCCGTTTTTAATTTGTAGTCACAGAAAATTTAGATCTCTGATGATATACAGAGCAGTTTGATCCAATTTTTACGAAGTGTATTGTATCGATCACTTTTATTTTGTTCATTGTTTAAAAGACTAAGGCCAAAGGCACATTTGGATGAATAATAGCAGTATTCCCATAAACAATCAAATCTTGGTAAAAATCCGTTTTGTGGTGAAAAATCTGTGTTGATATATTATCATGCAGTGAAACTATCGGACTATAATGTATGGAGACTTGCCACCCCATGGCAACATTAAAATATATTGACTCTGTCACATCTTTTCCTGTTAATATAAAACTCCGTTACAAATTGAACTGGGATGTGTTTAACGTTTTCTCTTTTGTTAAGCTAAATTGATTGAAGTAATTTATTTAATTGAAAGTTTGTATGCAAGTTTATCTCCAAGCAATTTAAAAAACTAAATGTGATATTAAGTAAACAATGTGTTATACTTATTGCAACGATTTTTCAAAGATCCAATGAAGCTTTTGAGTTTAATGTATAGATGTAATCTGCTTATTTAATACTGCTTATATAAAGAATCTCAAGGCACCCATTTAGTCATCGACAAAAGTGATACAATCCTTTTTCAATCCCCGTTTACAATTAATATTAGTCACTGTCGTTTTTCAGCTAGATGTATGTCTTGCACAAGATTTTTTCTTATCAGAAAAACAGACTCCATTTTAAGGTTCACCTGTTTCATGGTGCAACAAATTGGGAATTATCTTGCACTGTGCAAAATAATTGTCAATTTGTCGCCTACATCATTGTCATGTTCAGTAAGTTACATGTTATTAGTGGTTATCCGATGAATCAGCCTGGGTGAGCTTACATATATAATAACTAGAAACCCGCCGCTAGTCGAAAGCTTTGTTCGAGGAAATTTTAAGCATCAGTTATGTTTTAATTTATCTTCATCATATAGCCCCAAAACGATACTTTTTACCGCATCAAAAAATTTCAATCACAACCAAAGTTATAAATATATATAGGTATATAGCGTCATGAGGGTAAATGTGAGCTAGTTGTGAAATTCTGATATTTCAATCGAGAATGACAGTCAATTGAATTATTGCCAGGCAATTAAAATGTTTAACTGCGCAAAGTTATTTGCGTAATTAGAAAACAACAATATTTTTGTTGATTGTGTGTGCGCGGCGTAATGTCAGCATTGTGTGTAGCTCTAGCGAATTTAGTATCGAAAAAAAAAGTATCGATACTTTTTACTGCATCAAAATATTGCAATCACAAACAAAGTTATAAGAAGTCATAGCGTGAGCGTAAATGTGAGCTAGTTTTGAAATTATGACGTAGCATACAGCATAACAACGCGCGTTGTTAATCTGTGGTTGCTGGCGCACGTGCATTTTTATCGTTGCTACGCAACAGCGCAGTAAACCTTTGCTAAAATAACGCCATTATTATAACGATTATTTAACCTCACTTCCGACGTTAATTATAAAAAATCTAAAGCCTAAATCAAAATTCTAAGAATGCTATAGCCTATTCCTATCCTTTTTCTACAACCCTGCTAAAAATGGCGAGGTTTCAACTCCATTTGCGAGCTGGGTTTGGCTTCACCAGAGGGTCATTTTGAGGTCGATTTTCGGTGTTTTTTCTTCTATGTCCCCGTTACCGGGGAAATTTCGTCAAGTTTAAAATATAATATAGATATATACATTATCAGGAAAAGTAGTCTTAATAAATTTATGCAGAGCTCCAGACTTCAAGGCAATAAACCATAAGATTCTTATCTTCAATACCATGGAAGATGTAATTGTGCTGATAAAAAATAACCGATCAGCTACTTGGGAGCACATTCAAATGTTGAAATTTCTATATAATATGATTTCCATTTCCATCCATGATCCAAAACTTATCTTTAAAAGATCCCAGCCTTGCTACAGTCCACAATGAATAATTTTCTCAATTTAAAGATGGCTTCAGTCAAACAAAACTATATATCGTACCTATTACATGGAGTAATATGCCTAAAAAATGTCTTACTTAGATTTGTTATAAATAATAGCAGCTATTTCCATTCATAGAATGTCTAAATATTTTTATATACAAATTTCATAGCGTTAATACTATTAGATTTTTTAACTGATATATATCATATTATTTGTCAAGACAGTGTTCTAGTTAATGGCTTCTATGGCCTTTCTATGGTCGTATTTACTGAATAATATTTAGTTAAGTTCCTGGTTCCTGGTATTTACTGAATACTATATTGTTCCTGGTACCATGGACTACTCTGAGGCTTTTTGTTTTATGACTGTTCAATCATTCCATCAAAATTTGTTTATCTCTGCAGCCGATTATACCATCCACAGATGTCATTTATAACGGCTATAGTGGTGTCTTAGATGGTCAGTGGTCTTTAGATAGTAGATGCTACCACCATTTGTATAAACAGATTGCCACATAAACTATTTAAAAAATCTTTTTTTGGTGTTTGATGTACATTTTCAATATTAAGAATTTGTACAACCAGTAAGTATAATTTCCTGGTATATCAAGGAAAAGTAAATCAGGATGCCGGATGGAACTACATAGATCTTTAATTTACAGCCTATCAAGTTCTCAGATCATCACTGTTTAAACCCCTAAACTGAATAATTATAGGTCTTGTTCAATCAGTTAAATTTAATCTTCAATTACTTAAACGAACTTGAATAATTACTTAACATGATATCAAATATGTTTATGAAATTCAAGATGAATATTGAATCAGACAAGTGAATCAATCATTTAGAATTAATGATATATCGATTAATTTAATACTTACTATCAAGAGGTGAAATATGAGATGTCATTGTGCATGAATTAATAGATTTGGTGATTAGTATTCCTTAAATAGGATGAGTTGACCAGAGTGCTTATTTAAGGTCAATTCAAATCGCTTCACATTATTTCTGTACCGTTTCAGCCTGTAAAATATAATTTACTATTACAGCGTTGAAGTAAGAGGCCATTCTATGCTATATATACTATTTAAACTTTTATTCTGAATTTTTGCTTGATGATAAGTCTTAACTATTTAAATGAATTCTATATATTCAGATGTTTACATCACTTAGCGACAAAAGTCCTCTTTCAAATTGCAATTGTATTGAAGTATTAGTAGTGTTTGAGGAGATCTTATAAGGCTTGATTGGAAAATATTCGAAATAATATTTTTTAACATGTCAATGTGTTCGATAGTTGTCTTTGATCACTGATATTTTTTGACTCCAGTACAGTAGAGATGGCTGAGAATGATTTCCTTGTTGCAGTCCATTGCACAACGTCAGGTTAGATTGATGAATAATAATTTTATTTACACCCCTTTATATATACAATACTTTTCTTTAGAATTATGCACTTTACTAAATTTATTATTTACTGTAGTCTCCAGTGTAACACGTGTTTGAATTATAAAATTTTGCAACACGAAAACAATGTTGTAAATAGCGTATTAATTACGATGGTCTTTTTCAGGAGTCCAGGGACAGTACATGGGCTCAGATGAGAAAGAAGTAATTTACATCGCATACCAAGCACTTAATGTTACTGAGAAACAGGTAAGTTGTTAGTTTCACCAGTTAGTTCCCCTTTTTTTGTCGTCAGTAAAATGACTTTTTGACATATTACCCTTGATCGTACTCACATTTTCTTTTAATTTCTCCTAGGGTATAGTTAACATGGTTAAGACAATTAACACCCTTCATTTTCTAATTTTAGTTGCTGGATGGTCAAGATTCGATAATCAAGTCTGAACAGAGCATTACCCCATCCCTGCAAATGCAAATAGGCATTACTCAACAAGAGATTGACAAGGGCGTAACGTTCCAAGAAGCTATTACTAAGGTAAAACTTACCACATGCGATCTTTCGTTTTCTTTGCAAATGATAGCGTATGGCCAGGGATCACTGGTAACAACAATAATAACACGTCTTCAGCACAAAGCATGGCTTTGTTAATGTTATGAGGTCGAATGCTTACAAAAGACACTTTTACCCAACCCTTACCTTCAGTTCAACCAATACCTGACCCAAATTGGAGGGAACGTGCGAGTGATCTGTGATGGTCCTTCTCACCTCAGACAATGTCTCCACCCTGACTCTGTGAGACGGGACTGTGCCCTCTCCACTCACTGTAACACTTTTACTGACATCAGGTACTTTACACGACTCAAGCAGATTTTCCTAGTACCAAACGTACACCTAGTGCATTGTAACACTTTCTCTTTAGCACTTTCTGCTTAGACTACTTCCTCAAACTTTTCCCTTTTCTGGCCTTGTCGGGCGGTCTAATCTACTTATTTCTGGTACAGACCTGTTTTTTTCCATTTTTACACCTTTCTCGGAGAACACTAGCGGTGCTCTAACAGCTGAACAGCTCATCACTTCGTCACGTGTTAGTAATGGCAGTTGTCACTGCAAACTGATCCAATTGTCCTTGAAAGAATTTCACTCAATACAGATCACTCTTCCAGGAAAGAATTCCACCTCCGGTTCCCGGCTGTTGACATCAGAAATAACTCCCTACACTCCATGGCCCAGCACTCTGCACTGGATACAGATATTAGACATGGTTTGGGTCACTGCAGAACCATTCTGGAGGTTGCTGTCAAGTTACTCAATCAAGGTGTGAGCTAATTACAGAACGTTATCTTTTGCCGTTTCTAGTTTATTCGAAATTAACGAGTTGATTCTGTTGAAATCTAAGAGCAGTTTCTGTCGAAATATACGGGCAAGATATGGTTATTAAGCAGTAGCATATGTAAGAATTCAGCAGTGATTCACATAGGAATTCCGGAGAAGTTTATGCTGGAATCGGGAAGTAGGTTTTAAAGTTGCTTCATCACCATGCGGGTATGGATCTATCTAATATTAATAAACTATCTTGGTTTAAAAGGGTCGCATGTTAGCCTAATGTAGAGCAATGCTGAGCGGTGCCGTTCTGAGTTTTAATAGCACGTGACGCCCCTATAAAGCAATACCTCTACTCATAGTGTTGACACGGTTTTAGGCACTCTCACTTGGAGAATGCTCTCTCTCTCTCTCTCCCCCTCTCTCTCTCAGCACACCACTACCTACTATCGGCCCGTTTCCTAGCTATCGCGGCTGGTACCTTTTTCTGTGTACACACACATAATAAATATATATCATGCTGTGAGAAATCACTATAAGTGCAAAAACTATCTCTTCCCCGTACCACTAGGTCCGTGTTAGCCAATCAAATCACAGGAGAGTCCGGCCCGAACACGAGACCTGGGAACCAGTTGAAACTGGCTGCTTGTACCGGTCTTACTGGCACACTCGGCCACGTACGACAATTCAGTGGTGATATATAAGACACTCTTAAGTAAACAATTATTAATTTAAAATAGTGACCTTATTAGGGTGTCACGTGCTACAGTAACTAGGTATTGTTTTTACACGTTGAGCACTGTTTATGTTGGGACGATGGGGACTGTACACGATACACACGTGTACATTCTCACACTCACTACCAGGATGCTCACATTCCTCCACTTTCAATTACCTGGATACCATATCACGTGACCTGGATGCCTATTTTTAGTGTGTGTTCAGGTCACGAGGACCACACCTTGCAGCCCCAAGTTTTATTGCTACCTTCTTACTAGAACTACGGGTGTGGTATTTACTGCAACCTTCTAATAAAACACTTCAGTCGGTTGAGGTGTTTGAGGCTTAATCAGGGGGGTTTATAGTCCCTCTCTCCAAATGGAAACTATTTAATTTAGTCTGTTAGTAACAAATTGTCAGTCTACAGTTGGAACATGTCAGGCTCCGTGAGGTTTAGTGTTGTGAGTTTAGTTAGGCGAGGTATTCAGAAGCCAGGAAAATGGTAACGTTATGCTACTTTATTAAACTATTAATAGGCGAAGGTTTACAATTTAAATGAGCACTATCATATCCGTGACTTTGGAGGTAATCTAACAAACTCAGACACGGTTTAGCAATTGCCACATTACAATTCAAATATATTTAATTAAAATGTTAGGCAGATTAGAGGCTGTCAAAATAATCTAATTTGTCCTTACAGAATTGAATTGTAATGTGTCTGTAAGACTGAATTTTGAATAAAGTAAATGGAAAGAATTTGCGTCAAGTGCAAGATATGTTTAAATTTAACAAGATAACCTGCAGGACTATGTAAAGAATGCGGACGGAAACTTATGTAAATTTATAAGAAATTCCCGAAACATCGATAGATTAATAGAATCATATAATATTCAAGAGAGCTGTAATCAAACTTCATCGATAAAATACAGAGATGATTAAATCTTCTGAAATTCTGATAAATCTATAATTTTATGCAGACCTTCCGAAATAATAGGGATAGAAATCCGCCTTCACAGTTAAGGTAGAGCAATTATAGCGAGATACTATGGTACGTGGCTTGGTAGCTAACAGCTATCTGCTACGAAGTATATAATTGTATTTGATATGGCTCTTGGCTCTTTATGCTGGTTAATGTAGAATAATATCAAACAGTACCGGCAGTAATAAAATAAAACGGGGACCACATTGAACACTCTGAATGGGCCAAACACCCATTTACACCGTTTTACACGCAAATCCATGATGTTATTGATGCGTTGTGATTTGCCTTGTCTGAGTCACCTTATACGGGAGCCACATTACGGGTGTCATGTGCTTGGAACGCACGGCCGCGATTTATTGTCTCTACTTACTCCTTCATAAATATATGCATTTACTGGCCTTGAAGCTGAAACAACATTTCTGATATCTTGCCATCAAAATTCTCTAGTCGTCAAATGCGATTTGAATAAGGAAATCGTAGATGTATTTACGTTTATCAAGATGTATTTAAGCTGCTAATTTTAAAACAATGTAATATATGGCAGGTTTTGTAGGTCGTTAAATCATGCCAAGATACTCAAAGGAATGACGGAGAAAGATCTCCTAGTGATCGGCTCTTTTTACGGTATCGGTTCAATGAAATGTACATACCAATACATATTTGGTAAAACTTAAGAGATCAATTTTTGGTGAAACGTAAATATTGATGATTGGTCCGTAAAATATATTCTATAAGCAAATATCTAGGATAAACCGAGCGCAGATTAATTAAATTGACAGATATATCTCTCCAACCACGATATAACTTAAAACATACGTTAAATACACTTTTGCTGTCTACTATTTTTGTAAATGATGCACGATACCGGCTGGCCATTTCGTCAAATTCCTAGGATAAAATTTGAGGCTTCTGCGACTTGGTTCGTGGACTAGTGATGGCGTGAACAGCTGAAAAAACAACGCTACACATTTTTTTTAGGTAGTTATATAGAACCGATATACAAGTCTCTTCTCGGGAGATATTTGGAAATATTGTTACTGCTGGATAGAGAAAGTTATGTCACCTAGGAAATATTGCTAGAAATGCAGACAGGAAACCCGACGTTAAACAAGCTCTTCTTCCCGAGGAGTCGCAGTTAGAAAAGGAAGCGTATTAGATACATGTTGTAAGATTACTCCACGTACCCACTATCCACTGGCACTTCACTTCCACATTGTTTCTAAACAATTCCCACATTGTTTCTAAACAATTCCCACCTTATTGAACTGTATTTAAAGTTCGTAGCTTGGTTCTTTGTGCAAGATAGAATGAGAGAGAGCGATATATTGGTTTAAATGATTTAGTTTTTAAATCTGAATTTGTCATAATTGATAAGTGGAAAAGTAGGAGTGGCAACAAAGTATCCAGTTTTTGATAAATGACCGCGCCTCTAGAAATTTAAAATTTGTCGATATGAACTAATTAAAATTGGAGAGTAAGTATTTAAGAGAGACAGAAAGAGACTGAATACTTATTAATTTTATAGGCAGGTACTGAGTAAGTTATATAGTACTTTAAATTATTTACTGTTCCAACAGGACTGATAAATAATGGCAAAAAAAACAACCGGGTGATTGGTAGATTGTTAATTTTATAAAATTTATTAAAGTTATAATTATATACATTTTTCAGGACACAAGCTATCGCAGCCTGAAGTTGTGTTTACGAAGTTCATCAAGGGGCACTGGTAAGTGGCTTTTATGTAATGTTTAGAGTGCAATGCTGTTTTGGTTCCACTATATTCACTTCCACCTTATATTCAGAACTGATATTTAGAACTGCTCTACACTAATCGTACACCACCATCATTGTTTTGATTATTTGGTGGCCAGCAGCCGGCTAAATTAACGTAGAAATATATCAGATCAATAGAAATTTACCCCATAAATATAGAAATGTAGTGGCGTAGATGTCTGCACCCCAATTTATGCTAACTAGGTCCATAACTTGTCAACTTTGGCAGGGCGCTGTTAAAACTTTACTGCAACCATTTAGCCATGTGGGTCTCTCCCTCACCCTCTCTCTCTCTCTCTCTCTCTCTCTCTCTCTCTCTCTCTCTCTCTCTCTCTCTCTCTCTCTCTCTCTCTCTCCTCTCTCTCTCTCTCTCTCTCTCTCTCTCTCTCTCTCTCTCTCTCTCTCTCTCTCTCTCTCTGTCTCTCTCTCTCTCTCTCTCTCTCTCTCTCTCTCTCTCTCTCTCTCTCTCTCTCTCTCTCTCTCTCTCTCTCTCTCTCTCTCTCTCTCTCTCTCTCTCTCTCTCTCTCTCTCTCTCTCTCTCTCTCTCTCTCTCTCTCTCTCTCTCTCTCTCTCTCTCTCTCTCTCTCTCTCTCTCTCTCTCTCTCTCTCTCTCTCTCTCTCTCTCTCTCTCTCTCTCTCTCTCTCTCTCTCTCTCTCTCTCTCTCTCTCTCTCTCTCTCTCTCTCTGTCTTCCTTTCTGCACTCTGTCCATTGGAAGTGTAGAACATTACTATAATCACTACAAACTGGTCGCATTTTAAAACCCTTCTCACCATATTGCCCTATAAGACATGATATATTTTACAGAAAAAATGCACACGTGAGGAATCCCCGGCGGGTTTTTAACAGGTGTATTTGCCAGTGCGGTTTAAACAGACATGCTCGCACTCGTTAACACATGATAACATTGTTTCCAGCCCACTTTGCTTCACCTTTCATCAGCTCTCATTGTTAACATATTACCTCCCACCTCGCTCATGTCCGGTAATTGTACCTCTGACAGGACAATATACTGAATGATATATACTACTTTAATGTACCGCGTATTTTCTGCAATATTTGACACGGCAAAACCGGCATTTTACGGCTCAAAGCTCCTTCCTCCAAAAGTTCAGATGCATTCAAAGGCATTAAGTAGCAGTTGCCAAATAATTTGATACATTGCAAAAATCCGCATTTTTCTCTACAACTATCCGTTGGGCGTAGTTCATCAACTCGAGGTATTGTCATCGGATATTGTAGTTTTAACTGCAAGTGCTGTAAAATATCACGTGTATGAGCGTGTGGTCGATTTATCTGGTGTACTTTGACTGCCAGTAGGATCTCCACTCCCCCACCGTATCTCATGACTGAGTGATGACTGAGTGATGCCTTGTTTTGACTGCGATCTTGGACCTGATGAAAAGTGAGAACCTCTGGTGAACCTATCACAGCAGTTTTAAAGGGGAGCTAAAAGCTCTGTCTTTAGCCTGTGGTCCCGTTGACAGACGGGAATTCACTGATTTGTCGTTTAAATGAGAGCAGCTGGGTTTACATTACAGCAAATCTACCAGAACACAAGATGTAATGAGCCGGATTTTTTACTGAACTTGTGTGGCCAACTCTCCACCATCTTATTCTCCAGTCTCCACAATACCCACTAAACAATCTATACTTCAATGTTCCACTTTAGCCCTGCATTCCACTTTAGTCCAAGTGTAGTTTAAAACTCCTCTCTAACTTAATTTGCTGCCATCTCTAAATTTAGGCTACAAGAATAGCAAGGAGTAGTTTTGTAAAAAAGTATAGTTGAACTGGATATTTGAGATCATATAAACTTAAAATAAACAGCCTCAAATTCACCATGAAAAGATTTATATCTCTCTCATGAGTGTTCGAAATAAGAGATTGAAACATATATCTTGATCTGGATTATTATATCTTCACCATTACACTACATTTCTCATCGCTGTGTCCAATCTCTCATCTTCCCTCTACAAACTAACAACTACATTCTACACTATACACAGCATTGTGTATAAGCCTACTTTCTTAACCTACCTCCATCGGGCCTACCGCTTTGTTTGGCTCACTCTCCACCAATTGTACCAAAACTTCATTAATTTTCGAGACTCAAGGCTGAGGCTATTGTGCAGAAATTACGGTAGTAACATCTGGAGTAGGAACGTTTAGAACAAACTGACAGTGTTACCCAGGTTTGGAACAAACTGAGTACCGGGCCAGGGGGTTATGAACAATGGGACCCGGGGGATGGTGTACTTCACTCACTATTAATTACAGTGATTAAATCTGCTTAGATCAATAGATTACACCACCTGGCCTTCTCTGTGTGAGGACAGAAGAGAGAATAGATATGATAGTTCAGATCTGATTCATTTCACGAAAAGTGGTCATGGTTTCTTAGCTCTGTATTAGCCAATGTAAAAGCTCAGTTAATACCAATTGACTTGGTTACACTTTTATATTATTGCTGACAAAATTAATATAAAACATATTATATCGTCCCGCATTGAATCATTCAGTAAAAAGAGTTGCCAAGATCTGAATCCTTTAATAAATAAATTCGCTTAGATCTGAATTATTCAAATAAAAAGAGTCCATAATTATAGTTGCTCAGCTCTGAATATTAAATGATGGAGTAGTTCGCTGTTTATTAGTCTCATAATTGAAATACTTATAGTTGGATAATATCCGGTTGGAATAGACAAGGACAAATGAAACAGAAAGTTAGGAATGTAGGCAAATTTTCGGCGTCAACGCCATCTTCAGGCTCAAATTATTTGTTATATAGTAGTGTTGAAAGTATTAAGCTCTGAATAATTCAAATTAAAATATATTTCTAGATCTAAACTATTCGATGGAAATAGTTTTACTAGAATCGTTCAATGAAAATGTGCAGCTAATGTCACGTGACCTCTGATACGTGAAAGGATCTGTCTCGGCTATAATCTTATTGCTTTTATCGAATATATTGATAGACAAGACCTTAATATGGTGTTGATAACCCAAAACAGTTCCTCAGTTCTGAATAATTCAAATTGAACGATTTTAGTAGATCTAAACCATGCTATAGAAAGAGTTTCATTAGAATCGTTCAATGAAAATGTGCAGTTAATGTCATGTGACCTCTGATACGTGAAAGGAATCTGTCTTGACTATTGACTACCATCTTATTGTTTCCATAGAACCTATAGATAGACAAGCCCATAATATGGTGTTGATATTATCAAGACCCCACTCCCAACTCTCCTCCCTCTTCCTTTTTCTCTCCACCTCTATCAGTAAACTGTCAGTAACAGTCTGTCAGTTGGGAAGGGTCGGGTACGTTGCACTTGTATCCCTCTGCAGATCATCAGTCAAAAGCCCGTGTGTTCAATTTCAGATTTAACTTTCAAAGCCTTGCTATGTACGTGTGTTGTGCACAATTCTCTCTCATGATACAGATTACTGAGGATATAATTCTGTATGTGGTTATTATGACTGATGATTTGATTTGTGAACAATGAGAAAATTGAGAATGATAATAAACCATTTAAATGCAATGAGTGCAGCGGTGGGTGTGGAAACCCGCTACATACCCAAAAGATGCCGCACTTAGATGTTGTCTTTGATAACCCTGATAAGTCTAATAAAGCGAGCTTACAACTTTTTCATTTAGAGAACTATAATAGATAGCAGGGCGAGGTGTGAAATTTAAGTTCTAATTCTCAATGTCTTGGCATTTATAATATTTATAATATGTACATAAAGTAAGTATATTATATACTGGATTATTAGTAAGTTCTAGAGCTTATATAATACCTTTACATAGTTAAAGTACTACTCTAGGAATCCCCACAATGAGAAACATTCGCAGACTGTACACTGATAGTAGCCCAGATTTCATTTTTTGACGATACATACTTGTGGTATTGCATATTATAAGAGGAGCATAATAATATATATTTGTATATTTTGACGGAAATATTCTACGTGCTATAATTTTACCCTATTTTAGAATTCCTCATGTTAACCACAAAAAAGAACTTTACCGTGGTTAAAATTGTAGCCTCTAAAGTTGTCAAAGCAAGCATTTTCTGACGGTTTGGCGTCCTTTACCCATTACTGGGTTGACATTCACTCCGCAAGTAATTTGAAGAGGGAGGAAGTTTCCGAAAATTTATCAGACAAACATGTGCCAGGTATGATGTTCACTCGACAAGCTATTTGAAGACAGAGGGAAGTTTATACACAGTTATCTCGCCAAACAAGTGCCAGCCGCAGAAATCATTAAAGTTCTTGAAATATTTTGACTTTTGGCACTCTAACAGCAGCAAGCCATCTATATTCTATAATTATAAATAGCTTGGTATATATATATTTGGCATATTATTACTATCCACTTTGTTATAAACCTGGGTGTGAAGGTCCAACTTTAATCCCAGTTAAAGCTGACCTCTCCTTTATTAGGTCCCCCTAATTGCAGTTGATCAGTAACGTCCCATTATAATAACCCAAGACTACAGTCTGTAACTGTCACAAACACAATGGCTTATAAAGAGCGATCAGAGACCCTCCTCCTCCTCCCTTCTCTACAAGCCTATCCTTCAGAGTCTCACTATCTAATTATCACACCCCGGCCAGCCATCGGCAAACCTTTTGTTCTGACCCGGGCTGTGGCATATTAACAAAATATATATATCCACCTTATAACTCAATAAATATGTGGACTTTTCGCCACATTTTTTGTCGCCAGTTAATAGGTAGCCGGACTCTATTTCCTAGGAAGTTTCAGCCCTGACCCGATAAGTGCCCAGTAAAAACTCCAGCCGTGTACCCAGTACCTTGTCATTTTAGCCAATTAAAAAGCCCGATCAGGTCCGCATGTGATATAGCATTAAACAATCAGTGTGAGGAAGTAATGTTTCCCCCTGTAATGTGATTTACGAGCCGTTTCCACCAATCAGGAACGAGT